ACAGAAATAGCAAGTCAGATTCACTATTTACTTTTTTTTAGCTGCTATTGATTTATTATACATATATTATGTATGACTTTTACATATATTATACATCTGTCGGCTATTTTTAATTTAAGAAATTAATTGAGCAGCTATTTGAGTTAATTCTTCATTCTTTCTTTTCTTTCTTCATTTTCTTACACAGAGCCCAGCCCAGAATAATGGGCCTCCCAACCCATTAACTCTATTTTTCGCAAAAAGAAAATAAAAAATTCTCTTTCCTCTCTCCAAATTTCCCTCCAAATCCACAGCTCCTCACTTTTTTCTCTCTCTCTCTCTCTAATCTCTTCAACCCTACCCAAACTCCATTGGAGATTAGTTCACAATTAACGCCTCCCGAAAGGAAAAAACGGGTAATTTTATCTACTGATATTTTCAGAAAATCTTAACTTGGGTTTGCTGCTTTGTGATATGGTATTTATTTTGGGGGTTGTGCTGTGCCTGTGTGTGTGTGCTGCTATTGTTTGAGATCTTGTTCTGATCGTTTGTAAGAACAAATCTTTTGCCTAGTCTTTAAACGTTTTTGGAGATTCTGTTTTATGAGAAATGAAAATGGGTTTTGACAAGAATTTGGATGTATAAATTTGGTATTGGGCAATACTTCGTTAGAGTTCAGGCTTTATTTAGTAGAAACTTTTAGTTATTGCATTTTTCTCTATCTTGTTATTTCTAAGTATGAGCTCAAGTTTATGATATTTTTCCTTCTGAGATTAAAAGTATGGTTAACTTTTGCTGGTTTTCTGATGTGACATAATCTGATTATCACACGGTTTTAGGAAGTTAGTTTGACTTGTGCTTTATTAATAAGAGTAGTGAAATAAAATATTGAAGTTATCGTTACATCATTGTTGAAAAGAATGAATTTTTGAAAGAATTCAAAGTTTCGTACAAGAAGTTGTGGGATTTCCTAGAATGGAAAGTATCAAGTAAATTGTGACAGAAGGAATTATATACTTTAGCATGAAATAGAGAACTCCAAGTATAAGTTTCAGGGAGAATGTGTTATAAGGATAAGAAGACTTTGTCAAAGTATACGTTGCCTTCAATTTTATGTGATAAGCTTAGGCCTCGTCTCCTGGGAAACTTTAGAGGCTTTTCCAGAGAATCCATCAAAGTTTCGGCTGGAAATCTATGTTTCCCAGACTTTTTTCTTAAAACTATAAGATTTTTTTTTTGAGTTGACTTGAATGTTTCATGTTCTTGTAGTTCATTATCCTCTCTTGTTTTTTCTTCTTTTAGATGCAACATGCATAAGCATTTAGAGCAGGAGTCAGTTGACCCTATTGTGTCATGTTAGCTCAGTTTCCTATCTTTATGGTGTTCAGCTGATTAAGTCTGCAAGCTTTTATTCTAATCTTTATGTGATCACATAGACGATAGAACTGATTCTTTATTTCGATCACTTTCTGAACAAGCTCAACCTTCAAAATGTTCTTTTTCTTGGGGGTCTTCTACAGATGGGAGTTAATTTTTCTTAGTTGATTCTTCCGTAGACATTCTTTCAAAAGATGCCAATATGTACCTCTTAAATATCATTGAAGGATGTTGTCATTCATTGGTGATATGACCTCATTCATTATATCCAGGGCTCATAAAAACTGCACAATGTATGAGTATATAATCATTGATGATATATTTGGCCACTGCCTTAATCTAGAAACATGTTACAACCTTAGACAAAAATGAAGGTTATCAAATTCAAATAAGAATCAATTTCTTGTTGTTCTCATATTTATTGGAACAGTATGCTTTTAGTTATTTTTGTACTTCAATTTACGTTACAGATGTTTTGTCTAGCAGGTAAAGTGTAGATAACATGTTGTGGAAGCAAGGAAGTAAAACGGTCATTTGAGGTCTGTTGTCATCTGGCATTTCGACCTTGATAACTATTCTGCACTGGACTGTTTGTGCTCCTACTTGTTTTATCAGAGTTCTTTTGTATTGTTGCTCAAGAGATCCATTTTTGTGAGGACTTTATAGTCAAGGGACTAGAGTAGATAATCTTCCTTTTGAAAAATTTCCTCCTTTTTTCTTCTTTTATTTTTACATTTTTTGGGGGGTCGGGGGTATTGTAAGGTTTCTATTAAAGCATGGACCTGAAGATGGAAATAGAAAAATCACAAACTTGTGCTGAAGGAGGAGCGGAGGCAATACTAAACGTTCAACCCAATTCATCAATCTCTATTGCTTATCACAATCTATTTGGTCCTCACGATGATTTAATGCTTCTTGAGCTTGATGAGAAACTCCTACCTGATATCCTCAATCAAAGGTGTGTTGTACCATTCTGTAAAGTTCTTCAATTTGCTATCTAAAGTTTTGAGTTAAATTTATGCTTATTCTGTAGGGTAACATTAAGAGGGCAGCCAGATGAAGATGCAGTTCTCTGTAGCCAGTCAAAAACTTATGCCATTAAATTTGTTGGAACTTCTAATTCTGTATTTCTTATACCTCCTCCTGACCTACCGATCACACATGGAGCTTCACCAAACTCAAGTGAAAAGCATCATGACAATTTGACAGTTGCTTCTGTCATCAAAGTAGTACCTGGCAGTTTGGAACTTGTCGAGGTTGCTCCTAGATTGGACAAGCTCAAATCGCTTCTCTCAGAAAACCCTTATGGTTTTGATGAGGTGTCACAAATGGATACTGAATTTGCGCACAAGAGCAGGGGCTTGTATGCATGGGATGACCTTGTTGAAAAGGTGCAAGCCAGTGACGAGGAACTGTGCACAGGGTTGCGAGCTCTTTCAGCAGTAGAGATAGATGGATATTGGCGACTTTTAGATGAGAACTTTGTGGATGAGATTCTGAACATGCTTTTGCATGATGCAGTGCTGAATGACTGGCCTTTAAGTGCTCTAAATGAAGATGAAGTTTTGCGTGTGCTGGAAGCAGATGGATTCCCTCGGAAAATAGTAAGGCACTGTTTGGAAGTTTATGGAAGTAAGGTGGATGATGACACTAGAGGCGGCTGTACGTGGAGGTTGGAAGAGAGGCTAGTTTGTGTGCATTTTGCCAGAGTAATCTTAAGAGGGAAAAAAATGAAACTTGAAAGATTTATGGAGGAGTGGAGAAAGAAAGTTCCTGAAGGGATGAATGCAAGTTTTGATGTGCTAGAAGGGGAAGTCTTAACAGAAAAGCTCGGGATCGAGACTCGGATTTATGCTTTTAGTGTTTCTTCACTCCCATCTGTGCCTGCTGAACGGTTTTCGAAACTATTCCAGGAGAAGCCAAAGTGGGAATGGAATGAACTGCAGCCATTTGTCAGGTTGGCTTTAACATTTCATTGCCTATGATTTCAATCTTGTTTATTTCATCTTACTTGATGCTTGAAATGATGTCATATGCTCCATTTCCGCTGTTGTTATTGTGATGTGTAGGGATTTGAAGTTACCAGGACTTTCTCTGGAAGGTTTACTACTCAAGTACACTAGAAGAACTCAACCAAGCATGGATGCTGAACCAATTTTCAGTGCAAGATAATCGCAAAGTGCGCCACATTATTTCCCCGTACATGTTCCACAATTGGGATGGTTTACTAGACTTGTGAAGAGGAAGAGTAATGTAAACTTGATTTTGGAATCTGTAAGCAAGTTTACTATCTAGTTGCTTTGCCTCTGCAGTCAGTTAGCAGCTCCTTATTCTGTTGTCCTTGTAACAGTAAGAACTGTACCAGGGAGAAGAAACTATTGAGTTGCATCTTGGGTTTACAATTCCCTTATGTAAACATTTATGAATTCCGAAGTCCTAAACTTTTGTTAAATTTCAACTCTCCTTACCCCCGGGTGTTGACATTTATATGTTAATTATCTTTTCTGCCTGTGATTATAGTCCAGTGTCAAAGATTATTCCCTCGCCTTCTGCTTTAGACTATGATTTAAAAGTAAAAATGCTTAGAATTTATATTTTGACTCTGAACAACAAATAAGCTGTTGTGTCTAGGGGAAAGAATAAAGTTTATAACAACATAGTGCATTAGTATTAATTAGAACGAGTAGATATCTATATGGTTGACCACTTTCAGTTGGATTTTCTTTTCAATGTATTCTATTAGAAAGGGAGAATCAGAAATGCGAAAAAGGGAAAGGACCAACGCTTGAGAATCAATTTTGACATCTATCATATGGAAGATTTTTACCAGAACCGTTAGACCATAAACTTTGATAACCACTCTTGTCTGGACTAGAAATATTTTTTGATACTTTTCGAAAAACTAAAATTGTATGTGTTTTAAGAATATACGTTGTTTTTCCAATTTCAGAACAAAGTGTTTTTGGAAAAAATCCAGAGGTAAGCTTTGAAAAAATATAACACTGATTTTCTCTGAAATATTTTCGCAAAGGCCAGATCAAACACAAACTTCTTGGTTTAGCTCAAATGGTTTTCCAATAATCTCTTAGTCGGGAATAGGAAAAAAGAAAACATTTCTCTTGTTTAGAGCATAACAAATTAAAATTTGTGAATTAGAGTACTTACTGTTTGGGAAGAAAGGCTTCTAACCCATCATATCCGTGAAAATGGCATGAGGGAACCAGTTTTCGAACCGGTAATTGAAAAATAACCAGCTTTTGTAAAGTTATTGAAAGATATTCATTATTTTGCTGAAACACGAAAAGTTTCAGCATAATATATTGTATTACGGAGCTCATGCGTATAAACTTTTAGCATATTATGTTGGAACTCCAACACATTATGAAATTCCAGCACATTATGCTAGTTCTCATATGTAAAAAAATTCGAACTCCAGCATATTATGCCGGAACATTTTTGGATTTTTAAAGATATTTTTGTTCAGATTTTATCTTTACGTGAAAAAATGACTAAATTTTAATTATTTTTGAAACCGAGACTATTTTTTAATTACCAAGTGTAAATCCTAATTCTGATTTTTTCCCGTTATATCCTTTAATACAAAAATACAATTTAAAAAAAAAAAAAAGCCTCCAACTTCACTACCTCCAAAGTCCAAACCGTCCCCCTTCTCTTTTGGCGGGAAAATCCCTCTCTCAGTTCCTAACATTTTTGCCTCTTGCTTCAATCTTCTCCGATGACCTAAAACCCTAGTTAGTGTCATCTGTATTCTGTAATAGCACAACTCAGCTCAACCGAAACATAAAATGGCTCCAAAGAAAAGAACAAGTTCAGGATCAGTGAAGAAATCAAGCAATCAAAACCAGAACCTTCAGCATCAGCAGCAATCTCAGCCTTCCAAATTCGGGATCCAGCATTTCTTTGAACGCCACACCCAAAATGTCCTCTCTCAGAAATCCAAACCCCTCCTCGTTCCCCACAACTCCAATTCCAACTCATTTCAAAACCCTAAAGAAAATTCCAGTGTATCAGTACCAGAAACTTCTACAAATAATGGATTGAATTCGAAGAAGTGTGACAAGGATAATGCGGTGTCTCGAGATAAAGACCGTAGAAATGTGAATAAATCGGATCATATTGATGTAACGGAGAGATTTAAGGATAAGGGAGTTGGGGATGGTAAAACTAAGGGAAAAAGAGTGACTTCGAAAAAGAATGAATTGGGTGGTCCGTCTCAGAGTACACCTACGGAGAATGTGGTAACTGCAGGTTCAGTGGAGGATAAAAATCAAGCAGAAACAACGCCTGAGTTTTGCAAGTCAGTGTCTGTGAAGCGCTTCAAGTTTTCTCCAGGAATGGTAATTATCTTTATTTTCTGATGGTTGGTTTCTAGCTATTGTTTACTTTTTTATTGGTGAGTAACATCATCAGTGAGGATTCATATTAGCCAACACCAACTTGTTTGTGATTGAGGCGCATTAACTGTTAGTTGCATCAGTGAAATTTACTTGGATGGAGCTAATTTCAACGTGTGTATATGAATGAAGGGTCTTCTTGTTTTATTAAATACTAGTGCAAGATTGCAACTTTTTAGGCTCATTCTACAAGAAATCGTGCTATGAGGGATCGGGCCATGGGTAAGAGGAAATTAATGAGTAAACTCATTGATGTAACATCATGCCAAAGACTTTTAAGCAACGTGGCTTTCTGTGTCACTGAAGTTAAAGTAGCATTTGTCGATATTTCACAGGACAGCTGGGGAGTTTGGGGGCCCAACCTCAGAGACCTGTCTAAAATTTCTATAGACATTGCATGGATGTCCACCTTTTAGAATTTTAAAGACATGTCGATGGTCTTCTTTGACCCCAGCAACCTCTTCTATCTTGCAAGGAGGATTTTGAATCCATCAGTTGTTTAATNCTGTTTAATAAACTTGACACATCTTTTAGTCTATAGGTTTAAATGCTTAGACTGTTACATTCATGGTTAAGAAAGCATGAAAAAGAATTAGATCTAACTGATTCAAAAGTTGTCCAAGCTTGCTTGTCAGTTACACATGATCTAATATATATGCTGTTGTTTGTTAGCTGATCAAGCAAAGCCAGGATGATGGAGGTGATGAAGTAACNTTGTTTAATAAGCTTGACACATCTTTTAGTCTATAGTTTTAAATGCTTAGACTGTTGCATTCATGGTTAAGAAAGCATGAAAAAGAATTAGATCTAACTGATTCAAAAGTTGTCCAAGCTTGCTTGTCAGTTACACATGATCTAATATATATATGCTGTTGTTTGTTAGCTGATCAAGCAAAGCCAGGATGATGGAGGTGATGAAGTAACATGGAGAATATCTCCAGTGAATGAACGACTTCATGCCGTGTCCAAACAGTTACCAGAGATGGTAAAGGTGTTGGCGGATTCATCACGCTTCAACTCCTTAAGTATTCAAGAATGTTCGCTGAAAAAGGTACATTAACATATGTACAACTATGCTGTGCCATTTTTTTGTTATAGATCATTGTAATACTATAATACTAATGATTACTACAGACGTCTCCTGGGACAGAAAGAAAGTTTGAGAAGCGGCTTTGTTCACCTCCACTGAAGGCGCTTGATAAATCATTAGTAAGCTCAAATAGGGCTAGCTTGAGAAACAGAAACAACGATCATGTAATGGATCTGTGGGAAACCAATGGAAACTTTAACTGCCAGAGCAAAACTGAAGTAACTAACAGTCAGAGTCCTTTTCAAACTCCACCATCTTTGACATACGGCAGTGATAAGGTAGTATCTGCATCGTCATACTAGTAAACATCTGTCACATTTCGTGTAGAAATGTTTCTGATGATTTCTGGCAATTAATGCAGCCTGCCAATGCGGTCAATAATAATGAAGTTACTGATCAGCTTGGTTCAAGGCAACACAAAAAGGTCTTTGACTGCTCTTAACATTTTCAGCTAATGTAATTATTTGCTGTTAGTCATTTCTGACCCCATTTGTGCAGAAGATGTAATTAGTCGTACTTCAACAGTCCCCGTGCTTTATAGGTTTTATATCCTGTTTCAGGCATTGATTGAGCTTTTAGACCAAGTAGAAGATGTTATCTCGGTTGAACCAAAATCTAAGGAGAAAGTTGCCCATAGTCATGATGAACCAGCTAAGCCAGCTTCCATTGTGCTAGAAGATGTAATTTCTGTTATACCAAAATATGAGGAGAAAGTTGCATCCCATAGTCATGAAGAGCCAGCTAGGCCAGCTGCCATTGTGCTAGAAGATGTCATTAATGTTGAACCAAAATGTGAGGAGAAAGTTACATCCCATAGTCATGATGAACCAGCTAATCCAGCTGCCATTTTGCAGAAATCGGCAGAAATATTTTGTGCACGTGACCAAAGGAAAGAGTCAACTATCTATTTTCTTGTATTGGAGGTACATTGGAACTTCTCTTATTTAAATAGATCCTTTATGTGAATTATGGATCGATGTACTTCAAAACATATGTTACTACAGGTTTCTGAGAAGCATGGACAAGTTGAAACATCTGGACAGCAGTACTCCTTCAAGGTTTGTGCCAAAGCCCCTTGCTAAAACCTTTGTGAGTTCTCACTTCTCACTAACCCAAGCGATGTACGGACACCTGACAATGACTTTCAGGTTTTGCGCATACTGAATGAACAAAGTGGAGAAGAGCGGGTTTTGCAATTGAGAGATGAGTGGTAATGAGTTGAATCTCTGTTATTTCATCTATTTTCAATCTGCTGAATATACTTAAAAACACAGATTTACAATCAAGCTATTTCGTTCAAAAGGACCAATACTCTTGAATAATTTCCTCTATTTCTGTTATAGTAGAATGTAGACAACATGGGGGATGGACTTTCCTGGTCACAATGACTTGTTACTTGAACACGAATACTTTTGCTACTCTTACCTCATCTTCCCAACCGACAGTTCAGTTGTGATGATATTTAGTCATGCAGAACAACAATCTCAATGTGCATTGTGTAACTTATATCTATTATTTGCTTCTTTAGATCTGTCATGGACCCAATGAGATTATCATGTGAACTAAACAAACAGAGATTTCATGTGAACTAAACAAACAAAGATTACAGTGCCACTACTACTCGGATGACCTTCAAACACTAGTTTTGTCCCCCTTCTTCTTGCATCATATGTCTTTTGTTGTTGAGGTAGCTTTTATGTCTTTCTTGTCTTTGCATTTGAGTTTACAAAGGCATCTTTATCCTAAATTCTAAAGCAGACAACGTTCTAGTCCCAGCCGCTTTTCTGCATTGCTTCATTTTATAAAAGTACCTTCCAGTTGTGAGAAACTATAATTCATCATCTGTATGAACCTTCTGTGGAAGAGACCAGAGATCGTCTCTTCTTAATCTTTGTAATTCTGATTGTTGACAGACAATTATGATGAGGAACTTACTTGCTTTCCAGGTGCTATAGTGTTGTTGCACCAGGAGATACTATTCATGTCATTGGTGAGTTTGACAGCGAAGGAAAATGTGAAATAGACCGTGAGAAGAATTTTCTCATTGTTCATCCAGATATTTTAGTCTCTGGAACAAGGGTATGTGTGTGCAATTATTTTTCAGTTGTTTGTTTCGATTACTCAACATCTTGTCTTTCACTGTTCCAGCTTCTGCAAAGTCATGCTTCCATCAGTTGATGATTCTTCTTTCTCCATTGTTCTTGAACGTTGAGTACTCTGTTAGGTTGCTTCCAGTTTCAGTTGCTCAAGGCGAGCTGTGCTGGATGAGAGGTTAAAATCTGGCGAGTATTCAGCTGCAGCATTGATTGGCACATTATTGCATCAGATGTTTCAGGTTTTACAAATGAAAATTTCTTGCTTTCTATGGCCATAGGCACATTTATTATCATAGTTTAAATTTTCACTGCTTTGCATGTACTATGAACTATGCCATTGAAAGCGACTGACACTTTTTGCCAGGCTGGGCTGATCAGAGAGTCTCCTACACAAGAATTCTTGGAGGATTATGCAAGGATAGTGCTCCAGAAAAGTCTTGAGAGCCTATATGCATGTGGAGGTGAGGAACATAAGTTTCTCCCAATTGCTACTTTGTGAAGTCGTAATTATTACGTTGGCCATCTGGAAAATGCTTTCTTAGAAGTCCTGGAAAGATGATTCTCAACGACAAGTCTACAGCAAAGCACTTAAACTGTCCATTCCTTTCAATGCTGAAACTTCTCAAACTTGTGGTAATTGCAGTTGATGAAAATGATACTCACAAGACATTGATCGAGGCAATTCCAAAATTGCTGAATTGGATACGTTCCTTCCAATATTCGGAGGTAAATGGCTACATATTTTATTAAGACTGAATTGTTGTTAAACACTATCTTGAGGCCATTAGTAACTAAGCTGGAAAGATGGGATTGTGATTTTGAAACTTTCGAATGGTGTGAACTCCTTGTTAGACTTGGATTACATCAGGCTACTTTGTTCAACAAAGCATGCAGCCCTATCAAGAACATGTCTTTTTTTTTTTCTTTCAGAAAGGTGATGGTTTATGGATTGTTTACAATTTTTTTGCTAACACTTGTAAAACCCAAATGAAACAATTGAAAAATAAAAAGGATATGGTACCTAAAGAAAGCATAGTTAGAGCCATCTCCAAAGTACTATGTTCCAAATTCTTTGTACATAGGCTAGTCCTCCTCTTAGTCACGTCAGCCAAAATGTGTGATAGATGGATACATGTGTGGTTGTATGGGTGCGGATCTAGAAGTATGATATGTTATCACCTAAATCTTAGGATTGGGGAACTAGAAAATGTGGTCAGTACGGGTGCTGAGATACCACTAATAAATGTATAGTATAACATATATATTTATATGACTAATTCATTTGAAAGACATCCGACAAAAACAAATACAAATAAATTGCTTTAAATATCTAAGCTTTTATTCCATAAGTATATCACATACAATTACAATTTTTCAGAATACTTTATCTGAATACTTATGTAAAACCCAAAATTTGAAACCAAAAACGCAGCCAACCTATGCTTCTCAGCCATACTGTAATTGTAGCCAATGCAGCCTAGATGAATTAACCAAGTGCGGTGGTATCTCACACCCATGCCCTTATCAATTTGGATTGACTTTGGTGCAGTGGTTTTTTTTTTTGAAGGATCCATGTAACATAGGCAACACTTGTCCTTTTGCCATTTCCATTATTTTCTACTTCGTTGGTGGCTAGTTCTTTGTGTTTGATTCTCAGTACATCTTGATTATGATTTGTGCCCATTCTCACATTTGTTTCCCACATTGTTATAATTTCTCTCCTTGTTTACCTAACATATTTATGAGCTTAACTTATGTTAGGTTTCAGAAGGCCCAAGTATTGATTTTGGAAGTGAAGATGGAGTTAAGAAGATTAAAGTATCTGAAGTAAGGAACCTCCTTCTATCTTTCTTGGTAATGCAGGCTTGAGTTAATACTTGCAATCAATATCTTTTAAGGCTATCCATCTTGAATAATTTAATGATCTTGAGATACGAACTTTGTTAGTTCTCAAAATCATATGTTGCAAATATTTCTGATATACAAAGCATTAACCACATCAGGATGATCATTAGGAACTGTGTTAAATGAGCATTAACACATTTATCTCTAACATTAGTTTCTTTTTGTATTTATGATTTGTGATGAACAAATAAGAAATAATCGACAAGCTTTCCACACAGCAACCTCAAATTGAAATTTAATTCACACTCTATCTACTATACTGTAGTGTCGCAACTGGAGTATGAAAGTACATGTAAATTGTCCTCCTAAAGTATAACGTTAAGATTTTTTTAAAAGAAAAGGTTCATTATTAATTGATGAGTTATGGGACATCAGATATAAATTGTGTTATAAAGTTTATGGTAGGAGATTGTTAGAGGATGTCTAGTAATGAGCAACCAATGGAACATGTTAATCTGACATTTAACTAATATTACATTCCCCAAGTGGTNAACATTTAACTAATATTACACTCCCCAAGTGGTTTACAGGATTTGTGCTTCAGTTCAGTTAGCTATATGCACTTGGGACTGCTTTCTTTAACCAAGATTATGCCTGATTTATTAGTTTTGACTGGATATTGAGCAGTTTTTTTCTGAAGGACATTATTTGTCTTAAAGGAGAATAAACTGCAACATGATGCAAAACTACTGATGCTTTCTAGCATTATCTACATGACAAACCCTTCTTTGCTGGAAAACAAAGGAGAAACATTACTTACATGTCAAGAACATATGTTCACCTATAATTGTTTTGAAAATGCATATAACATGGTTCACCCTGTCCAGTCTGTCTATCCTCCCTGTGTTTATATTCTTTTCATTTTGGATGTCCTTAAATATAGGTACTTGATATTGAAGAAATGGCATGGGCCCCAAAATATGGGTTGAAAGGTATGATTGATGCATCCTTGCGAGTAAATGTAAAATTCAACACCAGTAAACATAATGAGATGATTATGCCTCTCGAATTTAAAACTGGGAAGGCAACAAATGGACAGGCAAGTTTTGTTTGAGAATTTGCAAAATAGTATCACTTAGTTGTGAAGTGATGATAATTTTCCACTTTATACGTTCTTGCTAGGCACCTAACCTCTAGGCTATCATTGGCATTACATTCTGCAGACAGCTATGGAACATAATGCTCAAGTGATGCTGTATACCCTTCTTATGTCAGAAAGGTGCACCGAACCCTGCCTATTTGCATAAGTATTCACCTACTGTTGGCATATGCTGTACTGCCATGTAGATTTTCCTTTAGTTCTTCATAGATTCATCTCATTGCCATCTATTTTTCTCTTAATTAGATACTCGCAGCATATTGGACATGGTCTCCTGTATTATCTGCATACAGATCAGACGCAGGTAAAATCAAGCATTTGATTTTGATAAGTAGGTGAAAAACTAGCATCTGTAAGAATTATAAAGTTTGCTTTTCTTTCTTTTTTCTTTGCAACCTTCTAAATTACACTTCATTTTTCAAGGGAATAACTGTTCGAAGATCTGACTTGGTTGGCCTAATAATGCGCCGTAATGAACTTGCAAATGATCTTCTCAAAACCACTATAACTCAACAACTGCCACCAATGTTACAGGTAAGGTATCTCCGTCTCATCCTGTTATACTTGGGTTAAATACAGATAGTGTTTGCTAGAACTTAATATTTTGCATTAATACTATCTAGTCATTGAATATGTGGTTGATNCTGATTTCCACATAATGGCATGTTGTCCACTAAGCATTCAGGGTTATCCCGCATTTCCTTGTGTCCTTTTATTATATTCTGTTCTTGCACAGTCCTGTAAGTTTATAGAAATTGTTAAGGTTAAAAGGCTCTTAATTGTATTCTGTAACCTATTCTCTCTGGTACCACGTAAAA